CCCCCCCCCTTGCCCTCTGTGCTGCCGAGTGACAGCTTGTAGATGTTGCGTGCGAGGAGTTCAGCTGGCGCTGTGTGGTCTGAGTGTGTGGTCTCACTCAGTCGAGAGGCTGCTAACAGGGTGGATGAGAGAGAGCAAGACTGTTTACTTTAATTTATTTCGGATGCCGGAGTTGTGCCCAGAGTTTCTCCTAAACTTGATTCCATAGCTAGCAGCTTCAATCCCTCACAGCTGTGGTGCAGTCTCAACTCCCTGTCTTCTCCCAACAGGCACTTTCCATAGCATCTGCCTGTTTAATCCCTGTGGCTCAGAAATGTTAATAGCACTGCTGAGTGCTGTGATTATTTTGCTTTCACTATGTCAAGATATATGGCCTTGAAGAAGTTTCTTTTGAGGTCAAGCTAGAGAAGTAAAGCAGAGATTTTAAGTAAGTGACAAAGTTGATGTATTTTTAGAAATGGAAAAAGCTATTATACAAAATTTGGGTCAAATTAATCCAACTCTGCTCATGTAAAAGAATCTGGGAGTTGTGTGACGACAGTCTGTCATGTTTAACAATTTTAATAGAATTAACCAATTTAAGCTGACAGTTGATTCCTTGACCCTTTTTGAAAATCTGCATTGATTTTGGCATGCCTGTTTACTGTAATTATTATATTTGTCATATTGGCTTATAATACAGTGATATTGGCTTATCATACAGATCTGACAGGTTGAGACAAGTGAAACTTTTTATGCGGTAGTATAAATTTAGGACAATATCTTTTTTTCTAATTCTTTCATTGTAAATAAATTAGCAGTAGTATCTTGATTTTTGTTCCTCTCTCACTTCTGAGCATTATTACTAAGATAGTCAAGTATTTTGTCATTTAAGTAAACACTAGACTGTTGATATCACTTGGGATTTCGCATTGTTTAGCTTCTTTATTTCCCCATCTTCCCCACAGTCTTGCTGGAATGGAGTTGGTGTTACTGATGTGTTGTCTAGGACTGGAAAGTCTCGACCACTGACATTTTCCAGAGAGGTTAATATGTCTAGCTTATTGTTGTTCCACTATTTTCCCTGTCATTTTTGTTTTATTTACTTATTTTTTAAAAGTTTATAAATTTTATAAACTCACCTCAGGAACCATGAGATCACAACCTGCGCTGCAGTCAGGAGTTGGATGCTTAACCGACTGAGCCATCCAGGTACCTCTTCCCCATTATTTTTACCCTGAGTTTTAGTTAATGAACTCAGTTTCCATCACTGGGAGGGTAAATAAAGTCTTTCTTACTCCCTCCTGTTCTTTCAGTCCTGGCCAAGGTTTTCTTTCTTTCATCTCATTTGATCTTAAATCAGAAGACTTTAGGAATTCAAGTAGTGTCAAATGCTTTTTTTTTTTTTTTTTAAATGCTATCATCTTGTATTTCCTCTTGTGTCCATTTTTTGAGTGTTCTGTTTTGTGGTGAAAATGGTAATCTATTGCTCCCAAGAATTCTGAAGCAAAATTAGTGTTATGCAAACTATTGCTACTATCTAATCCTGGAACATTTTCCTTACTCCCCAAGAAAACTCTGAATCCAGTCAATCCTTTTCCATTCCCCCTTCTCTAGCTACCAATAATATACTTTATCGTTATGGGTTTACTTATTCTGAACTTTTATATAAATGTAATCATATAATATGTAACCTTTTGTGTTGACTATGGCAAAATATGTGCATAGTGTCAGTCATTACCCTATTTCTTTTACCTAATGAGTGAAAATTCTATAGATAGAAAAAACATTGATAAATGATGGGTATAGTCAAGTAAACATTATAAGTAGAATTGAACTTATGTTTCAGAAACTCAGAAATATTTAACAGGAGCTGTGAAATGCTCTAGGCTTATATTTTATAGAAATGCCGTGTCAGTCACCCAGCCCTTCCTTGTAGGAGTAAGTCATGCAGGGACCTATTCTCAACCTGTCTTGAACTGAACAATGCCATTGCTAACTGGCTTTTGAAATTTGATCTAGAACTCTAAAAGGATAAATCCTGATTGAACCAAATCCCTCCATTCCTGCTTTGCTTTTATTGGGCTAATGAACACTGAAAAGGAAGAGGAGCAGAGTTTTGGTCTATGTAACTGAGGTGGCAATTGGCCTCAACAGCAGTTGATTCTCTTTCAAGGGCAGAGAAACATTGTCTTTTGAGCTACACTGCTTTGGCAGCATTTTTAAAATAGCATTTCTAAGTGCATCTTTGTTGAATACAAGTTCATCTTTAGATCTAAGACAAAAATTACTGTCTTTGGAGTTTTCATTATTTAGAACCAAAAAGTAGAATTTTAAAATATATTTTTGGTTTTGCTCTTCTTTTTTATGTGTGGATTTTGATATTTGAAAAATCAAACTTAAGTCAGTTTTGGCCTAGTTTTTATAGAAATAAAGGATGGTTGAAAAATAAGTATTTTTCTAATGTAAAGAATTATGAGAGGTACAACTAATTTTGATTTAGACATTTAAGATATTTTTTTGAAAAGGACACAGTATTAAAGATCTGACCCTACTCATTAGAATTTCTGATTTTCAGGTAATTCTTTATGGAAGAGGTAATACAGTATCAAGTTTTTCACCTCTTGGGCCTTGTAATTAGAGGCCATGTTTGAACTTGACCTACTGTCACTCAGAGGTGACCCATAGAAGATGAGTTGTTCTGCACTTTGTGGTTAATTTGGATTCATTTCTGATTCCTTTCTGTGGCATGAACAAATAACTTGACTTTATAGTTAGCATTTCTGTATAGAGTATTAAGAGGAGCTGTCACAGTTTGAGTAAACTTTTAGGTTGTAGTTAGAAGACTCAATTTCTTAGTAGTTTTTGATTGCTAGTGTGGCATGGATTTATTAGTTTACATTTGATCTTAGCCTGGAGGCTAACAAGTGATAGATTTACTGGTTTAAAAAATAGTGTGTGGGACACGGTACAGAATCAAGAAATGGTGTATATCCTGTAGTGGTACAAATCAAGCTGACATTCTGTTCGAAGACCACATCTCAATTCTCATAGCTAAAATTCCACATGGCTTAAAGTTTGCTGCTGTCCCTGAAGAGCCAAAAGAAGAGAGAATTGACAGCCTGTGTGTTCCCAGGTCTGTTCAGCCCAACCACTGTTTTACTGAGTATCTGCTTTGTTCTGGTACTGGACTAGGTCCTAGGAGTAAAGAAAAGAACATGATGCAGTCTTAGCCAAGCCCATTGAGGACAGTTCTTTATCAGAGACCTTGGTACAGCAATTCTTCCCCCCACCCCCGCCTTTTAATGTTTACTTATTTATTTTGAGAGAGAGAGAGAGCGAGTGTGTGTGTGTGCAAGCAGGGGAGGGGCAGAGAGAGAGAGAGGTAGAGAGAGAATCTCAGGCAGGCTTCATGCTATCAGTGCAGAGCCTGATGTGGAGCTTGATCTCAAACCATGAAATCATGACCTGAGCTGAAATCAAGAGTTGGACACTAAACTCACTGAGCCACCCAGGTGCCCCATCCTTTCTTTTTTTGTTAAATGTAGGGAATATTATTTGTTATCTCTTTCATAAGAAAATCAATTAATAAGAGAAATCAACAGTTCCAGATCTGTCAAGAGGAAACATTATGTGGTCAGCATTACCAAGGAAGCTATATACTGCCTTGTATCCCCATTCATAAGGTTACTCCATACCATGCTCTGGAATTGACCTTTCTGTGTCCAAGGCCTTACTACATCTCTGAAAAATTTGTATACATGCTCACTGCCACAGGGAAACCAATATAAAAATGTATAAAAAACATGACTTTT